ATTCCTTGCGGAGCAAGAACGCGACTGCTGATTGTACGTCAAAAGGGCCTGTAGTTTTCCCAAAGCAGGGCCTGCACCCTGCTCGGAAGGAGCCCTTATGCATCAGTATATCCGTCGCCAAGAGCGAGAAGGGATGCAGGAAGGAGAAGCTCCCTAACGCCAGCTCTGGTGAAGATCTGCTCCCGGGGAGGCTGTTCTTCCTCCAGGCCGACCAGCCTGCCGCTCACGAGCAACGGCCGCCTCGGCAAAGCACCCGAGAAAAGCCAGAAGTAGCCCAAAATGAGGATGAGGCCGCTTTGGCACCTGACGGATCGTGCGCCGGAAACGGCGTCCCTGCGGAGCCGCCTGCCCTTCCCGTCCCTCCGACGGACGGGGCTTGGCAAGCCCTTGATGCCACCTGCTTAAAAAGGCAGGTTTCGCATGACTTTCTGGAGACCAGGTTTAAAATCCAGCAGCTTTTGGAGCCGCAGCAGTACATGGCCTTCCTGCCTCACCACATCATAGTGAAGATTTTTGGATTGCTTCCTACCAGGAGCCTGGTCGCCCTGAAATGCACTTGCTACTACTTCAAATTCATCATCGAGTACTACAACATCAGGCCGGCGGACTCCCGCTGGGTGCGCGATCCCCGCTACCGAGAAGACCCTTGCAAGCAGTGCAAGAAGAAGTACGTGAAAGGGGACGTGTCGCTCTGCCGGTGGCACCCCAAACCCTACTGTCAAGCTTTACCCTACGGGCCCGGCTACTGGATGTGCTGTCACCGCTCTCAGAAGGGCATCCCGGGCTGTAAGTTGGGGCTGCACGACAATCACTGGGTCCCTGCCTGCCACAGCTTTAACCGCGCCATTCATAAGAAAACCAGAGGAGCGGGAGCCGAAGCGGAAGAGGAATATTAGTGCACATACACTTTTCCTGTGAGATTGTTTGGGGGAGGAGGAGATTCTCATGCCTTGTGCTGTTTACAGTGTATATAATCGTCGTGGGGGTTGTTTGTTTGTTTGTTTTTTTCCACAGGGCTATGAAACTGCACATTCTTAAACACGAGAGCCTTTACCTTTTAGACTGAAGAGAGCTTTTAGTCCATCTCTGTAAATAACACCCTAAAAACTAATTGTACATACGGAGTCTCCAGCTGGCTGAACAACGTAATCGCTACAATGCAGCTGCGGTAGTGTTGCGGCTAGAGTTGTGTGTGGGTTTAAGTGTTTTTGTTCCAAAAAATCTGTATATCCTGTATAATATATGAATGTTTCTGAGAAGAAACTCTAAATAGGTAAAGGACAACTTGTTAAAAAGAGTCTTCAGGCAACTTAACTGGACAACCTGAGAATTAGACTAGGACGGAGCCGTTACAGCAGCGTGACAGTGGATAAAAAGAGGAATATTATTGTATAGTCAGAATATGAAAAGCTCTTGTCTACCTTATCCATGTTGTCTGGCTGGGTTGGTTGTTGTTTTTTTTTTTTTTACTCCAATAAAATGTGCATTCTAGGTCTGCCTTACCAGACTTTCTCTTGTAAGACTTTTTTGCCCCAAAATAAAAATACTGTAAATCACGTGGCAGAACCTTGGTCCTGGGCTGTAATTCGGTCTGTTTCCTGTAGAAAACTAGTCCTGCTAAACCAGAAACAAACCAAAAAACCACCCAGATTTAGGTTACTTGGAGCGCTCCCTGCTGTAATACAAATTCCAGCTTTTCCTTCCCCTCCCCGGGGCCGTGCGTGCAGCCGCACTTTGATGGGGATTCCAGTTGTTCCGGGAGCTGGTGCTGGGGGTGTAAAACCTGCGCAAACGGGGATTCCCGTTTCTGGGATCTCCTGTCGTTCCCTCTCCTGTGCCGCCCTGGCTGCTGTAGGATGGAGCGTGGGTCTGGCAGGAGGAAAGCGGAGTCGCCTCGGCTTGGGGCCGTGCTGGAAGCTTTGCTCTATATGGAATTTTGACCTTCTCGGGGGGATTCTTGCGCTGCTTCGCTCTGCTCCAGCCTCCTGCATCCTCTTCCCGAGGTGCGAGTCGGTGCGCTCGAAGGGGAGTCGCCGCGTCCAGGGCCAGACCAGCGGCGGTTCCTCGAACTCTTCCTGGGAGCTGAGCACGGCACGGGCCGAGTGTGTCCGCCGCGATCCGAGTGTGTCCTCCGCTGCG